ACTTTTGTGTGCTGCTTTACTCCCCAGATTTGGGTATTTGGGCAGCAGGGACTTGACAGCGTGCATCACCTGCTCACCTGCTGTCTCCCAGGGCACTCATTAGGAAGAAGCTGGAATAAAAAGCCAAGTCAGGATTTGAACCCAGGCACTAATAGGAGAGGCAGGTGTTCAAAGAGATTTCCTACCCACTATGTCAACTACTTGCCTCAGGCAGGCTGTTTTAGGCCATCTTTCTGTGTGTGCAGATTAAAGCCAACTTTTTTTTTTTTTTTCCCTAAAATCAGATATACAGAGAGGAGGAGAGACAGAGAGAAAGATCTTCTGTCCGTTGATTTACTCCCCAAGTGACCACAATGGCTGGAACTGAGCTGATCCAAAGCCAGAAGCCAGGAGCCTCTTTCAGGTCTCCCACACGGGTGCAGGGTCCCATCTTCGACTGTTTTCCCAGGCCACAAGCAGGAAGCTGAATGGGAAGCAGGGCAGCCAGGATTAGGACCAGAGTTCATATGGGATCCTGGCACGTTCAAGGCGAGGTTTTAGCTGCTAGGCTACCAAGTTAGGCCCAATTAAAACCAATTTATCTACCAATTGAAACTAGCCTGGTTGGGAAATTTGTTATCTCTTTATTCCTGATTTCTCAGAAGGTCAGATAAATGGCGTAGCCACTTGTAACTTGAACATGGGTGAATACATTTTGATATCTAGCCTGGTCTAACGCGGCTTAGTCTATAACCAAGGAGCTCCTGTCTTTTTTTTTTTTTTTTTTTTTCCCTCAAGCACTCTTTGCTGGTCATTCTATTGAAAGGGCCAACCAGCCTTGGCTCTGATTAGAGTATGTGTCTGTTCCTGGGCCAAGGGAATGAGGTGGTGCCATGATTGGCCAGGTTGAGGTCTGCAGCTCATCACCCTTGGCAGTCTCAACAGCTTGAACACGAGTTATGGCTGTTTAGCCTTCTCGTACCTCAGGGTCTTCTTGCTTCTTGTCTTTCTGAGTGCCTGAATACTACCTCTTGCAATTAACTGAAGGCTTGTCCTCCAGCGTCCAGTCTCTGTCCCCTTTCCAGGCCATTCTCCTTTCTTATTGGCATCATTTTGGGACCTCCCACTAGGTATTATTTCCTAGTGACCTGTGAGCTGCTGCAGTAGACAGGTGTCCTGTCCTGTTCATGCCTGGCCTTGCTTGTCAGTTCACAATATGCCTGGCCTTCATTGGGTACTCCATAAACATTTGTAGACCTCTGGGATACAGCAGCATGAACAAACAAATCTGCTTCCACATCCACCTTGGGGTGACTCTGTTTGATACCATCTGGGGTGGCTAGGCTGTCGGGTGCTAGTGTCACACTGTGGGGAATAGCCCAGGCTTGTGTCCTGGAAGACCTACCTACTGGCCTTCTCTGCACCTGAACTGATGAGCCCTCAAAGAGGCTGGGTGGCAGGTGCCCTGAGCAACACCCTAAGGACCTGGGCAATCATGCGCTGGGTGGTAGGTGCTCGGGGCAACATCCTAAGATCCTGGGCAACCAAGAAGAGGAGGCTGACCAAGTCCTGGTCACTGCTAGCCAGGCAGGGCAGGGGGTAGTGCCTCTTCCTTCTTGGCTGCCTAGTGCGGAGGCTTGCTGGTGCCATGTGATGAGGAGTCCTGGCTGCTGGCTGATGGGATCTGCATGGGGGATTATTGATGAAGGGGAGGTGAGGTGGCTTTTTACTGTAACACATGCCTTGTGCTGGGCCAGCGGCCAGGCGGCTAATTAGAGAACTCAGCAGCTGTCCAGCCTTTTAGGCAGTGAGCAGCAGCCACCCTATGCCAGGGGGTGGGAGGACAGCAGAAGGAAGGGGGCCTGGAGCCACAAACAGCCCTCTGAGGAGTAGGCAGTGGCTCCAAAGGGACATAAGGGGGAGCATACAAGGAGTTAGATGGAGGAAGGAATAGAGGTGGCCAGGGTGATAGACAAGGTGGCTTCCAAGTGATACAGAAGAAGGGACAGAGAGATGTTGGGTGAGCAGGGAAACCTGGACTGCAAGGTCAGCAAGGGGACAAACTAGAGGGAAAGGGTCAAGTGTGTGTGGACTCAGCTCCTATCTCCACCCACCCTCCCTAGCTGCCCTGCTGCTGTTCACCCTAGGGAACTCAGTTGGGGAATGGCATAGGAAATGCCCAGCTCCCTAGGCTGCCCCTGTACTTCCCCAGGGGTGCTGTGTGGACCCAGTTTCCTCTTCTCCTCCTCCCAATCACAGGGGATTTGAAATACCAGTTGTACTTGTAGCTAAGTATGGTCAACTCTTGGGTTGGGAAAGTCCTAATCCATTAGTATCCAGGGCTGGTCTCACTATGGGATAAGTAGAAGCAGTTGTTCTGAATTAAGGTGAAGAACTTGGGTTCTTTAAGCCACCAGAGGGCTCCCCAGTGTGGGTACTTTCTCTTCACTCCAAGGGCCCTTGGTGGGGTGAGTATGGTGTAATGTGAAATCTGTTAGGTCTTTGTCCCAGGCTTTCAGTTATAGAACCCTCAGGCTGTCCTGTCAGTTGTCATTCATAATGAGGCCCTTTGGTTAACCCTTGAATTTATGCTAATTACCTGTTTAGAGCCCCCTGGGTAGCCTCTGGATGAGGCCAATGCATGGCCAGAAAGAGCAAGTGGTTAGATAACTAGAGGGCTTTCAGCCTTTTACTACTCGCCTCCGGGGAAGGTGTGGAGGGCTGGAGATTAAGTTGCTTGAAAACTCAAACAAGACTCTGCAGCTTCCTGCAGCAGAACACATGGTTTTGAAAAGTGGTCGTGTGCCCACCCCCACCATGTCCAATCTGCCTTCATCTGGCTTTTCCTCTGAATCTTTGAACATAAACCACTAACGGATAGTGAATATTTCCCTGAGTTCTGTAAAGTCCTCCTAACAAATTAATAGAATCTGAAAAGGGGGATATGAGCAGGCAGTATGGTTGGCAGCTAGGAGTTCTTCTAGTAGAGATGACATTGATGTGATTGGCTGCTGAGTCGGGGCAGAGCCCTTGAATCAGGGGGCCCGGCTCTATGCAGGGTGGAGGGTGTCAGAGCTGATATGAATTTTAAGGTATCCTGTTGGTGCCTAGTGGAGAATTGCCTGCTGTGGGGGGAAAATCCCACCTGTCTGTTCACAGAAGTGCAGGGGGCTCTGGGAAAGTTAAGGAAGAGGAGAGTGGGGAAGGAAAAGGGTGATGTTTGTATGCTTTCTGGCTCTGGTCTTATGTTCCCACCATGGAGATGGTAGTTGGGGAGATTTAGTTTTAGTTTCCTGTCTGAGAAGCAGAGACTGCATCCCGCAAGCCCAGCTCACCCTGAAAAGTTTTAGGGGTGGAGAGAAAACGATGCAGAGAGAATTTCCTGCCAGCAGCTGCTGGTTAAACCTCTTTGGGAAATGAATCCTGTGTGCACATGGAAACTGGATGTGCCTTCTGAGTGTGCCAGCACACATTGTAGAAACAACAGAATAGGCATTGTTATTCTTGGGCCTGAAACAGTGCTTGGCTTCTTGCCCATACAGTGGCCTGCAGTGTCTCCCAGGGTGTGTGGGATACCGTGCTCCTGCCCTAGCCGTCCTTGAGTGGTAACAAACGGGACTTGTGCATTGTCCAAACCCAAGCCACCCCTGTGTCTCTCCTCACTTCTAGCTCGTGTGCCAGCTCTTGGAGATGTGAGAAGGAAAAGCAAGGACCCTCTTGGCTTCTCTTATCTGCAGAACCTTGACATCACAAACCCACCTTCGTGGTGCTTTGTGGGAAAGGGCCTCTCCATCATGGTGAACTTGAAATGAGAGGTGATCACCAGATGTGACCATGCCCATGCTAACCTTGGGTGAATCAATCACCCAGTAATTTAGTCAGATTCTTCTCTACTTGGTTGGTGCATGCGTCTACCAGGAACTCCATGTTCTCAAGGACTCTACCACACAGTGAAGGAAATAGATGTGCAGATAGTTTCTAGATGGAATAAGGGGTTTCAATAGAAGGATGGTTCCTGGTTCATGGAAGCGTGGGGAGCCAGATGGCCCAGTGGCTGTGGGACAGCCTCACAGAGCAGGGAAGTGGGAGTCGGGTCTGGAAGCAGGGGTGGTAGGGTTGGGTGGATTGCAGAGAAGGGCAAGAAGGAAGGACAGGGTCATGGTCTCTGCTCTTTCAAGCTCCCAGAAGCATCCCAAGCAGGTCGATGGAGTTGCTGGTGGACAAACTCAGCTGTGTGCTTGCAAAATAAGCTGCTTAGGGAGTGGGCTAAGTAGATTATGGGGAATCAAAGGCCAGTGCTCGTGTGTGCAGATGTGTCTTAAGAATGAGAGTTTGAAGAGTGAGGGGATGGGAGGAGGGGTAACTCCAAACCTGAGGAAGGAAGTTGAATTGAAAGTGTGGATTTGGACAAAATCAGAGTCCTAAGGCTCCGTGCCTTCTCTAGTTTGGGGGTGGTCACTTCTGCACCTGCTGCTCCACAGAGTTGAGAGCCACGGCAAGGTCATGTCGAATCCACATGTCAGATGCTGTAAACTCTTTACCTGTTCATCTGTCCTGAATGCCCGTGGCTCAGCCCAGGTGGTCCACCAAGGAGCCTCCTCCTGTCTGTCCTCTGCCCGCTCTGCTCTTGAGGGACATGGAGTATTGCAGGGGTGGGGTTCGCCATCTGTCCACTCAGCAATCTTCTTGGGGACAGGATGCCAAAGGTGTCCAGCACGGGGACTTGTTTGGACCAGCTTTCGGGAATGATTGTCACCGGCAGCCCCGGCAGGCTTTGCGTGCAGAATATGGTCTTTGGTTTCTGTTTCGGTTTTGAGGGCCAGAAAGGGGAAGTACCATGGGTGGGTCACAGTGCTGCCGGCGGGTGGGTGGAGTGTCAGATGTGCCTGGACACTGTAGCTCTTTTCTCTAGGTGATGGCTACGTGCCAGGGTGGTCCCTGATCACTGTCAGGTGAGCGGGGGAGGAATGGGGGGGAAAGATAGATGGGTGAGGGGAAGGGGAGGAAAGAAGTTCTCTCTAGAAGAACAGGTAGGCTGGGGACGGGTAGGACAAACAGATTGGGGAAGGGATGAAGGTTCCTGTTTGTGGAGGAGCCATGCAGGGATAGAAGGCAAGGGCAAGTCCAAGGCAGAGCCCAGCAGCCCACAGCCCTTCATGACCTTTGTCCTTAGCTTCTGCCTGTTGACATCCACATGGGTAGACTCAGGGGGTCCACACCCCACATCCTTCATAGAATGTAGTTCAGGTCCCCAAGCCTTGCCCACTCAGAGGAAGTGTCCTGACTGCCTCATAGATTGTCAGCTTGGGGAGCAAGGACCCCGTTACTTCTGCTCAGAACCCGAGCGTGGAGGCCGGGAAGAGGAGGGGGTGAGTGTCTTCTCTGCTGGATGGTGGGTCTGTGTCTGTCATTCATTCTGCTTGGCTGCCCGTGTGGAAGCAGTGCCAGCTTCTGCCCCAGCCACATACCATGCTCAGTATCAGAGAGATTGATCTGACTTTCTACAGGCCTCAGTGCTGCCCGTGGGCAAGCAGGTGTGAAATGTGTTGTGTCAGGGGCCTTTAGGGAAACTTCAGTACCTTCACTTTAAATTTAAAAACTGTATTTTATTTGAAGGCAGTAACACACATACACAGAGAGAGAAGGGGGAGAGAAAGATTTCCCATCCCCTGGTTCATTCACTCTCCAAATGCCTGTCATGGTTGGGTTCTGCCAGGCTGAATCCAGGAGCCAGGAACTCCATCCAGATGCCCAGATGGATGGCAGGGACCCAGCCATTTGCAGTATCACCTGCTGCCTCCCAGCGTACACATCAGTAGGAAGCTGGATGGAGAAAGGAGCCTGGACTCAGACCTAGCACTCAATTTGGGATGCTGATACCCGAAGGAGCCTCTTAATCACAGTGCCAAACACCTGCCCTAGCACCTTTATTGTAGAGCAAGAAAATTTTGGAATCTTTATGAAATGGGCAAGTCTTGGAGACATTGTTAAAAACATATGCTTGGCAAAGAGTGTTCATAAAGTAAGGTTGAAGACAGCTTGTAGCCAGTTATCAAAGTGCAATAATGTCAATGAGAAAACAGTAGCAATGATAGCAAAGTTATAAAGTGAGATAAATATATGTCACAGTGGTGAAACTGGGGGCAGTAGATTTGAGCAAGACTGTTTGCTTGTCTGTGTGTGTTCCCCTTGATGCCCAAAGCACCCACTCAGTCTGCCTTCGGTAAGGCTTTGACTGCCCTTGGTAACACATGTCCCCATTGCAGGGTGAAGGTGACAGTGTAACTTGAAGCTAACGGAGGATGGAGCTAGATTCTAAAATTATATCACCTCTCGGATTTACAAGTGCACTCATTCACTCGTGATGCAGGAAGCCCCAGGTCCCTGTCCCCACATGTGGATTATCCCAGCGCCGTCTCAGACGCTTATGGCTGGATTGACTAGACAGGACAGCTGACAGGAGGTGGCCAGTTCCAGAAGGGCCCTGACCACCAGGCCCAAGCCCTGGCGGTGTTTGCCTTGAATCTGCCCCTCCTGCCGGCTTAGCCTGGCAGCTCAGAGCAGGGGCAGATTAAGCTAATGAAGGCCTCCTCTGTTATTCCCAGGGACACATGGATGTGAGCTGCCCACCAGCCAAGGCTCAGCAGAGTCCCAGGATTGATGCTTGCCTGTGCTGCTGAGAATGGCACCAAAGCCCAGTCTGGAACCAGGACAAAGGTTAGCCCAGGACATTCCTCCTGGCTACGGATCCCGATGTCTGTTCAGAGTTGAGCACTCCAGAGTGTGAAAAGTGAGTATGATTCCCCGGTCCTGCCTGCCTGCCTGCCTACCTGCCTACCTGCCTACCCAAGTGCCCCATTGGTATGTGTCTGGAGGTTCTAGCTTTAAGCCAGGTTCCCAGCCAAGGCCTGTCACAGAGCTGTGGTTCTGGAATGGAAAGGGAGCACCCAGCCATTGTAGGCATGTTGCTGCCAGAGCCATCAGAGAGCCATCTGGCTTCTAAAAACTGGGCCAGACTCAGACTGCCTGATGAGATGAGGCAAGGTGCCCAGCAGGTGGGAGACGGCATCTTCCCACATTCCGTTTTTATCAGCAGGTTCATGGATACTTTTGGGCATTGGGCCTCCTGTGCATGCTTGCAGGGGGTGGGGGCATTCCACCTGACTTCTGGATTCAGCTCAGCACCAGGCATGAGTTAAGTCATGTGGGCCTGGAAGGCTTTGAGTGGAGCATTTGGGGACCTGGGAGGTGAAGGAATTTGTAGGGTATTAGCTGCCACAGAAGTCGCCCCCCAGCCCAGAGGAGCCAGGCCTCTTGCCTTTGCCTCATTTCAGCAGCATCTCCTCTTCGTCTGCCCAGACGAGCTCAGTGTGGGGTGAGAGGCCCTGACTGTACAGCCTTGCCTGTGTTCATGTGACCTTTCTTTTCACCTTGGGCTCTGGCTTTTTTCTTTAAAAAGTGACAATTAGCTACTCTCCTGAGCCCCAGGGGATGTCTTGCCCAGAGGTGGCCATGTCTGTATGGAACAGGCAGTCCTATGGCGGAATCAAGGGCCAATGGGAAGGGCAGACAGAGAGGCTCTTTGGCAGAGCTTGGCTGGACAAGCTGGTAGGGGCTCCTGGCTGGTCCATGGGCACCTTAGAATCCATGTTTGGGTTTACAGGAAATGGAAAAAGGCTAATCAACTTTAAGTATATTTTTAAACTTCTTTCCTTTCATTCCTCTCTTCTCCCTCTCTCTCTCCCTGTCTCTTTCTTTCTTGAGAGATCTTTCATCCACAGGTTCACTTTCCAAATACCTAGGAACCAGGAGCTGTGTTGGAATTTCCCATGTGGTAACAGGAACCATTGCTGCCTTCCAGGATGTGGATTAGAAGGAAGCTGGAGTCAGGAGAGAAGCTGGGACTCAAACCTAGGTGCTTCAGCAGGGATGCAGGTGTCCAAATCGCCGTCTTTAAAACACACACACACACTCACACACACACGATTTACTGGGACCTAGCACTGTGGCACAGAAGTAAAGCTACCACGTGCAATGCTAGCATTTCTTATCAGCACTGGTTTGGATCCCAGCAGCTCTACTTCTAATCTAGTTCTCTGTTAATGACCTGGGAAAGCAGTGAAAGATTGTTCAAGTGTTTGAGCACCTGTATCCATTTGAGAGACCCAGATCAAACTCTTGGCTCCTAGCTTTGGCTCAGCTCAGCCCTGGCTGTAGTAGTTAGCTACTTAGAGAGTAAGCTAGCAGACAAAAGATCTCTCTCTGTGCTTCTTTCTCCCTCTCTGACTTTCAAAAGTAGAGTTACAGAGAGAGAAAGAGGTCTCTGCTGGTTCACTTCCCAAATGGCTCCAATGGCGAGGCCAAAGTCAGAAGCCAGATACTTCATTCATGTCTCCCACGTGGGTGTCAGAGGCCCAAGCACTTGGACATGCTCTGCTGCTTTCCCAGGTGCATTAGCAGTGAGCTGGATCAGACGTGGAGCAGCCAGTACTGGAATCCAGACTCGTATTGGATGCTGGTGTCACAGCAGGCAGCTTAACTCACTGAACACAAAGCTGCCACCCAAGTAATCTTAACCCCTGTACCAAACACCTACCTTAGTTCCAAGTAGACCTTGACTTGTTGGGATGAGAACTGACAGGTCAGGGCCATAATATATTTTCTACTCAGCTTGTCAGTTTGTGATGGGTGGGGCTTTGAGGAAGAGTTCTCAGGGTGATTTGTAGCTTCAGTGGAGCAAGCCAATCTAGACAATGGGAGGGGTGTGGACAGTGGAGAGTTGGCCATGGAGGTCATGTGACAAGACAGGAGACCTGTTCCTCACATGACACAGCTTCCCAGAACCATCTACATCATCTTAAGCAGCCTTAAGACTGCTCTGCTTTTGGTCTGGTGTTTCTGCTCCTGGCGTTATTCATTAAAAAATCTTTCGTTAGGGGACCAGACACCATCTTCAATACTGGTATCCCATATGGGTACTAGTTTGAGTCTTGACTACTCCATTCCCAATCTGACTCCCTGCTAGTGCCCCTGGCAAAGCAGCAGAGGCTGGTCCAAGTCCTTGGGCACCTGCATCCATGTGGGAGACATGGAGGAAGCTCCTGGCTCCGAGCGTTGGTCTGGCCCCAGCCATGTGGCCATTTAGGGACTGAACCAGTAGATAGAAGGTCTCTTTCTCCCTTATATTCCTCACTTTCTCTGTAACTCTGCCTTTCAAATAAAAATGTGCTTAAAGAAAAAGAAACCTTTCATTAGGAAATGGTTCCAAAGAGGCAACGGATTGAAGTAGTTATAAGCATAAAAGATATTCTTAAAGATATCTGTAATAGTGGAATTGGGAGATAAGTGCTCCTTTGTTGAACATCTGAATTAAGTAAATTATAGTTTTCCACTTGGTGGAATATTACACAGCCATTACAATAATGAGCACATGGGCTATATAATAAGTTGGAAAGCTTGTTATGATATAATAAGTGAAAATAGCAGGTTACAAAATAAGCACATAATGGTTAACCTGTAAAACACACACGTGGGAAAAGATTACAAGGGAGAAATGATAATAGTTGTTGGGTTGGTGGAATTGTGACTGCTTTCCTTGACTCTGATGCACAGATTGGCTTCTGTTAAAAGAAAACTTAATTTGAATGACTACTCCCTACCATTTAACAGCGACTTTCTCTAAGATGCAGGGTTGGGGGAGCTTTTGCAAATTCATTGCTTTGGGTAATGTTTAAACCTCAGCTGTGAGCACATGCTACTTGTGTAATTAGAAAAAACAAAGGTATTTTAAGATGCTAGAATTGAAAATTGACCAAGGTTCTGTTTCCCAAGAAAGAGGACACAAGAGAGAAGCGTCGACTAAGCTGTTTATCCCTGTCTTCCTCAGTATTTAAGGGGCCTGGGCCCGTTTGGGCACAATCATTTATTCGTTCATTCAGACATTCTTGTGACAACATTTGATACTAAACTCCTTGTGGATGGCGGTTGCCCAGTAATGAACAAGACAAAGTCACTGACCTGATAGTGATTTCATTCTGTCTGCGGAGAGACAGACAGCACGCCAGGGGCAACACATCAGCAGGTGAAAGTGCCGTAGCAGAAGTAAGATGAGACATATGAGGAGGGCCAGCTGGGCAGAGCCCCAAGTAAAAACAGGGAGGCAGTGGGGCAGGGGCCTGGGCAGAGCAGTACAGGAAGCACACTGGATGCCCAGTGTATGGGCTCTGCCCGGTTCCCTAGCTTCCTCCAGCCCTGTGGGTCCCTGGGCCAGGACTGACTCCCACCTCCCAGCTGGCATTTGCTTGGCATCTGAAACTTCCACTGCCCTCAAACCCTCCCTGTGTACAACAGCTGCTCCTGATACTCTGGGCAGATGGCTCCATGGGTCAGCCTGGCCTCTGGCTGCTGCACTTGGCTGGCATTTTGTGTGGTAGGACTGGATCATCTGAGCTGCCCAATAGAGCCAGGGCAGACTGGCTGGCAGTCAGGCTGGCTCTGGGGAATGTGTGTCCTGGTGAGAGGTCTTTGAATGCTTGCATGCCTATAGGCCTGAGAGGTGGCTGCTGCCAGGGTCCTGGGAGGGCCACTGTGGCTCTTGCCAGAGTTTAGCCTTAGGAATGGGCTGGGAGCTTTCCTAGCTCCAACTCCCAGTTCTGTGCTCTGTTGGTCATCCACTCAGAAGCACATGGCCTCCTCCCAGCTTCTCGTGCTCTCTCTACACAATGCCAGCCTCACAGAAGCAGACACACAGAGAAGAACAACGGCCTCTGAAGAACCCCCAGGGCCAATGGTGCTGTGGATGGACTAGGCGAGAACTCCAGAGCCTGACTCATGGCATTAGAGCCCCAGCCCAGAGAATAGGCTAAAAGTTGAGCTTCATCTATGCAGGGGACTTGAGGATGAACTAAGTTCATGCATCCAGCATACTGAGAAAAACACCGGCCGTGGTCCTTATTGAACCCTGGGAGGCACAGGGAGTTTTTAAAGACCTGCAAGGTCATTGAGCCCAGTGGCTTTCCCGGAGTTTGCAACACCCACAACTGAGCCAGCCAGGGCCACAAGGATTGCCTTCTGCTTGGTCACTTTCTTGTCCCTGCCCCTCAGCTTGGTGACCATAGGGGAATCTGGGTGCTCTCGGATCTTGCAGCTCACCCGAGATGTGGAGTGAGTGCCCTCCCTTCCCAGACTCCACCCACCCAGCTCAGAGCCTCACGGATGTCTGGGTTCAAGGTTGCTGAAGCGGCTCCTGTCTGCCTTGCTCCTGGGAGCCTCGGAGAAGGGCCGTGTCTCCCCCAGAATGTGAAAACTTAGTGATTTGGGGGTGCCTGGCAATGCCTGAGAAGCGAGTGGCATGAAAGAGAAAGACCTAGCTTTTGAGGAGAGAGGATTCCCCCATTTTCTAGTAAATGATGCTGCTCGGTGCACTAGCTCCCAGAATCCTTGGCACCTTGGCTTCCTGGGTGGGAAATTTTCAGCAAACCTCAGGGCATTCATCTGGCTTTGCTTCCAGCCTGTCTTAGATTTGTACATGGTTTCTTCATCCCTATCCACTGCCCTCTGCCCACTGTGGGCTGTCTCGGCAGGCTCTGGGCAGTAAGTAGTGTGTCCCTCTGAGGGAGCAGGATGCTGACCACCAGCTCCTCCTGCCCATTGCCTGTGCCCTGTCATGGAAGCTCCCTGTCCTGCTGTTCACCTTGAGTTCCAGTCCCTCACTGGGACTCAATGTTCCTAGCCCTTCTGCCAACAAGCACGAGGGCTCTTGGGTTCGAGTGTTGTTCCCCGAAGCCTGCTTGTGAAACCTCCCATGGCTCTCAAACGCCTTCTGCCCTGCTGGGCCTCCTCCCCTGTCCTCCCAGGCTCTCCAGCCTGAGCTTTTCCTCCAGGGGCTGTCCTGCCTTCCTGCCCAGGTCCTCATGAGAGTTGTGTTTGTCATCAGGAGAGAGAGAGGCAACGTTTGCTGAGCTGCTGGTTCTTGCTACTGAGGCTTACCTGGGACTGAGTGAGCACAAGGTATTGAAAGGGGTTTGGGTGGGGGGAGGCAAAGGGAGTTGGGTGGGAGTGGGAGTCTGGGCAAGGGAGAAGCCTGAGAGCCCAGCACAGGTTCATAGGCTTTCTTAATTTATTTGAAAGGCAGGCAAACAGATACACATGCTGAGAACGAGAGAGAAATCTTCCATCCAGTGGTTCACTCCTCAAGGGTCTGCAACAGCTAGGACTGGAACAGGCAGAAGCCAGGAGCCCAGACCTCGGTCTGGGTCTCCTTTGTGCATGGCAAGAACCTGAGTACTTGAGCCATCACCTGCTGCCTCCTGGAGTGTGCGTTAGTCCGAAGCTGGAATCGAATGCAGATGCTCAGACACGGGATATGGAAGTCCCATGCTGTGACTTAGCTCCTGCACCAATCATCCTCCCATTGGGTGATTTTTTTCAGAGATGGAGTTGTTGATGCTCAGAGCCTACCTTTCACCTTAACATTTGCCCGTGGACAATGCGTCTCATTTTCCTCTGTCTCCACCCCAACTTGTGTCCCCAGCCAGGCCTCTCAGCTGCACCCCGGTTCCTGGTGCCTGGACCAGCCGTGTTCTCCTAACACCACTCCTCGGGCTAATCTCGCCCAGGTACACTCCCCCTCCATCTACCCCATACCTCCTGTTCCCCTCCCCCTCTCCTACCCTCTCTCTCTCCTACCCATATTCTGCTTCTCTCCCCTGTCATATCTTCTCCTTTTGTCACAGGCTTTTGCCTGCAGGGACTGGGCTGGGTGTGGGAGGCAGTGGCAGGTCTTCCAATGGGTCTGTGGGGCATGGGAAGGGGACATTGGAGCCTCTGAGCCCAGGGGCATTGTGGTGTCCTTGTCACCTTGCCAGGCTGCCTAATTTGGGTCCATCAGCTCCTCCTCAGAAAGGCCATAGCCTTTCCACAGCAGTGGTTGGCAGTCCAGGATAAAGTGAGGGTGTGAGTGGCTGTGCTGGGAAGACCCATGCTTTATTGTGCTATCATTCAGGCCTGCGCCTTGTGCAGGCTGCTCCTTAGCCCTTGCTCTGGAAGCTGGCAGCTTAGCTCACAGCCCCCGATGTCTGTAGTGTGGGAGTTGTGTTCTCCCAAGGGAGGAATGCACGTGGGTTTACAGTTTCCTCAGGGTGTCTGTGCTTCTATATCGGATGCAGGTGACAACTTAACCCACTACACCACAGTGCTGGCCCCTTACCCATGCCTCTGTACTGTGGCTTGCAATGGTGAGATGCAGGGTTAGTCAGGAGACTTGGAGTCATCTGTGTGTGACATGAGGAGGACTTCAGTCAGAGCAGTAACAATGAGAAGAGGGGAATGACGTGGAGGTGGATTTCAGATATGTAGCAGGCAGAAAGGGCAGGAGTTAGTTGCTAATTTGTTGGCATTGGCATGTTACTTGCCTTGGTCATAGGAATGCTTGTGAATGTGCCTTAGCCAGTGCATTTATTTATTCACTCATTTGAGAGATCTTAGATCTACTGGTTTACTCTCCAAATGCCTACAGCACCAGGGGCTGAACCAGGCTGGCACCAGGAGCCAGGAATTCCATCCAGGTCTCACACTTGGGTTCTTGAGCAACCTGCTGCCTCCTATAGGAAGCTAGATGAGAAACAGGGTGGAATTTAATCCTAAGCACTCTAATGTGGAGTTCATAAACCGTGGCCTAACATGCCATTACACAATGCTTGCCCTTCACTGGAATAACTTTATTGTTGATTTTATGTACTTACATATTTTTTTAAATTCCTTATTTTACTTGAAATAATTACAGAAAGGAGAGAGAGAAAGCGAGATCTTCCATCTGCTGGTTTACTCTCCTGATGGCTGCAACGGCCAGAGGTGGTTTGGTTGGAAGCTGGGAGCCAGGAGCTTCTTCTGGATATCCCATGTGGATGCAGGATCCTAGAGCCTTGGGCCATCCTCTACTGCTTTTCCAGGCCATTATCAGGGAGCTGGATTGAAAGTTGAGTAGCCAGGACTACAATTGACACCTATATAGGATGCCAGGGCCTCAGGCAGAGGATTAGCTTCCTATACCACCATGCCAGTTCCTGCTTTTATTTTTTAAGTTATTTATTTACTTGACAGACAAAGTTACAGATTGAGAGGAAGGGAAAGAGGCAGAGCAAAAAGAGATCTTCCATTGACTGAATTACTCCCCAAATGGCTGCAGTAGCTGGGGCTGGGTCTGCCAAAGTCAGGAGCCTTGAACTCTATCTATCTCCCACACGAGTAATAGGAAGTTAAGTACTTGGGCTATTATCCACATCTTTCCCAGGCACATTAGTGGGGCGCTGGATCAGAATTTGGAGCAACCAGGACTCAAACCAGCACCCAAATGAGATTTTGGCTTAGCAGGCAGAGACTTCACCTAACTGCACAGCAGTGGCCTCCACTTATTGTTTCTTAATATTGGAAACATTTGGAATCCTCTCTGCTATTTTGAAATACACAAGCAGATGTCAGCCACAGCTACCACACTATGATACCAAGTGTGAGAAACCATTCCTCCCATCCAGCCATTCTCCTGCGTTCATTAACTGTCCTCTGTTCATCCCCCCGACTCCCTGTAACCCAGAGTCTTGGAAAGTCCTTGTGTAGTTGGGTCACTTACACTGGTGCCTCTCCTGTTGCTGCCACAATATGTCCGAGCTAGTCCTCTGGGTCCAGAGGAGGGAAAAGAGACAGATGGAGCAGAGCCATCCCAGCTGGCCTGCCCTGGCCAAGTACAGACCCGAGCATTAGAGAACTCTCACATTTTCATGATCACAGCAGGCCATGCTTTGCCAGCCCACAGACACGTGAGCTGGATGGTAAGTGATGATGGCTGATTGAGGCCATTGAGTTTGGGGCTGAATGGTTAGGTGACATTAGAAGACTAAGACACGTCTTCATCCTTACGCTGAATGCTTTCTGTATGCTGGGCACCATGCTAGGCTCTACAGCTGGAGAGATAGGATCCATAATCTTAGGAATGCTCGTGAGAGTGGAAATGAAAGGGGGACAGTGAGGATGACTCCGGGGCCTCTACTTCTGATAGAGTGCATGGTGATGCACCCATGAGAATGGGCTCGCAGATAGGAAATGGGTGGTGGTGGAGAGAGAATGGGTCTGATTTAAGAGAGGAGTTTGGGGAATATTTAGGTGGAGTTGTTTAGAAAACAGCAGGTAGAGAAGTGTAGAATTCAGGAGAGGAGTCTGGCTCAGAACTGCATGTTATCAACATGATATATAACAAACAGTGTGCTTGGTCAGGTACCCATGGTGGTGGTCAGGCCTCGGTTTGCTCATGTTCTTGGTCACCTTGTGGCCTTTGTGGAGGTCCATGGCCATAGGATAATGCAGAGCCACATCTGTGGCTTTCCAAAGGCTGCTGATGCAGACACCCAGCCCTGCTTCTGATACCAGCATCGCTAATGTGTTTCCTGAAAGATGGTGGGTGATGGTTCAAGTATTTGGGTCCCTGTCACCTGTGGGAGAGACAGGGATGGAGTTCTGGGTTGCCAGCTTTGGTCTGGTCTGGTCTTAGCTGTGGCAGACATTTGGTGGGGTGTGAGCCAGGATCTCTGTCTCTTTGCCTTTCAAATTAAGGTGGCGTGTAATAATCAACTACATCAGAGGTCCAGACTGTCACCAGTGAAGAGGCCTGTGGGCTAGACCAGGTTTTGGAGAAGCAGAAGGGGACCTGGGAGCTGATCCTTGAAGACTAGTAAGGGTTAACACAGAGGAGAGGAAGGGAGAAGGGGCAGAAGGAACACTCCTTTCTCAACCTGCTGCTTTCCCCTTGACATTAAAACTAAACACCAAAATCCTATAGAATGTGGCAAAAAATAGATGTAGTCACAATGAGATACTTAAAGTGGTATCTCATTAAGGTGGCCATTTTATATATGTTAAAAACAAAGCACCTGTAAAAGTTGGCAAGGATGTTGGGCAATTGAAACCCATGTGCTTTGCTGCTGTGAATGTAAAATAGTGCAGCTGCTGTGGGGAACAGTGGAGTAGTTCTTCACAAGGTTAACCGGAGAATTACCACAGAATCTAGCAGTTCATTCTGCACGTACCCGAAAGAATCGCAAGCAGACTCTTGAAGAGATATTTATACACTCATGTCCTTTCATTTTTCTTAATGTTTCCTTTTATTGCAATTCAAATATTGGAAAACCAGAAAATCTAATTATCTGCCTGTATTATGCTCCAGCCAAAGCATCCAATGTTTTCTTTCTGTTTCTTTCCATTCCCAAAAGTCATTCCACAGGTCAGTTCTTGAAGCTGGGTTTCATTTATTTACTTTAGTATTCTAAAACACATAGGACTATTTAAACCCTATGGGTGTTGCTTCTTGGTGTCAAAAAGAAAGTAAATGGGAAATCATTCAAATGTGTTCAAAGTACAGATCCCTGATAAGTTGCTGCTTTTGAGGTGGGAAGAGAAAGACCTCACAGAACTCAAGTCATAGTTTATTAAAATGCTGGGTCTACAGATCTAGCTGTAGTATTCTACTACATAAAATTCCCAGCAAGAACAGTTGAAGCATACGCTGACTCAGTGTCCTAGTTGGTTCCAATGGCAGCATTTGCAGAAGAAGCCTGCTCAAGTTGTAGGCAGTGAGTGCGGCTGCATGTGAGTGGCTTACTCGACTCACTCTGGACTTGGTGAAGACCAGTGTCTGTTCTTTTTTTAAGCTGAGACAATCTGATGGTGAGGAGGTGTCTCTATTTTACCTGTCTTCCTCTCTAATCAGATAGCAGTTCCTTGCTCCTCTCCACCTTCTAATGGGGATCTGGAACATCATCCCTGCTCCGTCTGACCCTTGAGATGGGTCTGCTGGGGCAGTAGTAGAATAGCTAAGTTTTCTTTGTCAACATTTCTGGGTAGATAGACTGAGAGACTGAATCCTGAATGTAGCCTTGGGAGGATATCCAAGAAGACTCCAGGCTCAAAGCTGGGAGCTTTGGTGGTAGGTCCAAAGCAGAGTTTTAGGTGTTTAGATCTCAGGGAAATATGCACTGGACTCTCCAGTTACTCCAAAAACTAGACAGCCCAGGAAGAGCCTGGAAAACCAATCCCCAACACAGAGGGGCAAAATGAGCCCATCCATGTTCAAAGGTGTTCAAAAGTGTTCATGAGGTGGACACTCCATACAATGGAGTGTTCTTCAACTTCCAAAGAGATTCTGACCCACACTGTGTCATGGGTGAACTCTGAGCACAGGGAAATAAGCCGGTTACAATGAGGCAAACACTAGATGTGATTCCACACCTAGCTCGGTCAAATTCATGGGGACAGAGTCGAGTGGTGGTTGCCCAGTGCTATAGGGAGGGGGAATGGAGAAGTGGCTCTTGAATGGGTGCAGAGTTTGAGTTTGAGATGATGGAAAGGTTGTGAGCTAGATGGAGAGTGTGATTGCATAACACCAGGATGCACTTAAAACCACTGAGTCATAAGGTAAGTTGTATGGGTCGAAGCAATGAACATAGCATGTAGTCAATAATTACAGGAAAGGCATTTGGTCAAGCTGCAGGTTGGAATGCATGCATCCCATATTGGAGTGCTTAGGTTGCCGTCTTAAGTCTGTTTCCAGTGAATCCCAATTTCCTGCTAATGCGCAGCCTGATAGGCAGCACAACAGGTGACAATGTCTCTAACAGATGGGTCCCTGCCATCCACATGGGAGATCCATATTGTGCTTCTGGCTCCTAGACCCAACTATTGTGGACATCTGGGGAAGAGATTGATGACAAGAGAAGGGGGCCACAGTGGGAATCCCTCTGGCTTCCTCATGCCCCAGAGACTTGAAAGAAGGGCCATGTGAAGGCCGCTGTGGCCCCTCCCTCACCTGTCCCCTTTGTCTCCAGCAGCTGGCCCCAGGCAGCACCATGGCGTCTGCAGAGCCCTTGACAGCGCTGTCCCGCTGGTACCTGTATGCCATCCATGGCTACTTCTGCGAGGTGATGTTCACTGCGGCCTGGGAGTTCGTGGTGAACTTTAACTGGAAGTTTCCAGGGGTCACGAGCGTGTGGGCACTCTTCATCTATGGTACGTCCATCCTCATCGTGGAGCGCATGTATCTGCACCTGCGCAGCCGCTGCCCGCTGCTGCTGCGCTGCCTCATCTACACCCTCTGGACCTACCTGTGGGAGTTCACCACTGGCTTTATCCTGCGCCAGTTCAACGCCTGCCCTTGGGACTACTCCCAGTTCGACTTTGACTTCATGGGCCTCATCACCCTGGAGTACGCGGTGCCCTGGTTCTGCGGGGCGCTCATCATGGAGCAGCTCATCATCCGGAACACCCTTCGCCTCCGCTTTGACCGGGACGCCGAGCCCGGCCAGCCCAGCAGTGCCCTGGCCCTGGCCAATGGCCATGTCAAGACCGACTGAGTAGCAGGGGAGGGCTGGCTAGCGGGGCGTAGGGTGAAGGGGTAGGTTGGAGAGTCTCTGTGGAACCCTTGGACAAAGAGACCAAGCTGGTGGCTTGGCCCCTCTGCACAACAGGAGCGCTGCCTAGGCTGGGCCTCAGCTCCATGGGGCCCCCTCAAACCAGCCTCCTCCACTGTTGCAGGATATGATCAGATGGTGAGGGGCAGGGTACCAGGCAACAGAGGGGCCCTGGGAAGGGGCCAAAAGTCTCTCCACAGCTCAGAGGCTGGAAGCCTGTTGCTGAGCGTTATCTGGACCACGCAGGTGACTTTGGAAACAGCACAGTCTGTGTCCTAGCTAAAAGATGCTGACAGTGGGGCCAGGGTGGGAGGAACGGGCAGGGGAGGCCCCAGGCTGCTGTGGCAGCCTTATCCTTCTCTCTCACCTGGATTTAGCTGGGCTTTGGCTGGTTCCATTAGGCAATATTCAGGTGCTTGCTTGCAACCAATACCTCCCCAGGGGCCCATTGAGCTGCAGCCTAAGAGAGACTGGGCAGCCAGGAGGCTGCATTGGGGCCAGGCTGTCTGCAAGGGTTGGGGAAACCACCCCTTGGCTCCTCTACCCTCCCCCAGGGCCCTTTGCTGCTCCTTAGGCCTTCTGGGGACCCATGTGGTGCTGGATTCCCACCAACCTTGGGCTTTGGGAGGTATCAGTCCCTGTGTGTTGGGTGGCGTTTCCCCTTTTCTCTCATTGTCAAGGCCTTTACCACTTCAGCTCTTGTATCCATGTTGGTCACTGCGTCCGCCCCTCCCTCCACCTCCCTGGGTAGCACAGCAGCTGCCAGATGTAGAACCCTAGGACACACCCTTCCCTCTTCCTACTTCTCTCCCTCCACCTCCAGGCTCCTGCAGCTTTGCACCCGTTCCTGTGAGCCTGAAGGCAGGGGAGACCTATGTGGATCTGTACCCTCCACACCCCTAGGCTGGTGGTCTTTGCCTGTGCCCACTCCCTGCAGGGTCCCAGATTAAAATAAAGGACCCTGTGCAGTCCCACCGCCAATTCCCAGCATTGTCAGGTCAAGATGGGCCCTGCGGATCCACAATTTGAACATAGAAGGAAATCAGCTGCCCTGATGGTTTTAATCTCATGTCCGTCAGGAAATCTGGCTTGCTGGGGGATGGAGGAACAGATCTCCAGTGTTGGAGACCCACAGAGGATGAGGAGGAAAAAGAGTATCTTGCAGCCTCCGCTTTTTGGAGCATACTCCATGGGCAGTTCTATGGGCCCAGCTCTGCAGCGAAACCTCAGGGCTGCTCTGTGCCCCACCCTCTCCCAGCAAGGTGACCCCTTCAGTTTACTCCCTAATCAGTACTGACCCTGCTGCTGTCTCGGGCATTGCCACCCTTGGCCCTCCCTCTTTCCTCCTTGACAGGTCCATTGCTGGCAGTGGACAGATGGAAGCCTCTTTGCAGCCCACTTCCTGTTCTGCCTTCCCCTCACCCTTGAGGGGAGGGACCCATCCCATGATATATGGCCTTTTCTTGACCGCACTAAAACTCTTAGGTAGAAATTAGCCTTTTTTTCTAGATCTTTGCAAAATGAAAATATTGCCTGCAAAGGGACATTCCTTTTTGGCTGGTTGCACCACCTTGGCCATGCAGATAGCTAGCTTGCACTGGGTCACTGGCTGGTCTGTGGAATAGTGCACCGCAGTAGTGTCCTGGGTCAAGAGGAGGGAAGGCTTGGAATCTTTGGCAAAAAAATTTCCTCTAGTTTACCATACCGGGGCAGGCCATGAAAGGCGTGTGTCAGTCCACTACCTGGCCAGGCTCTCTCCAGTCCAGGATGAGCTCCAGTGTGCAGGGGGCAGGGGATAGCTCTGCCTTGGACTTCATTGTGGTCCCAATCCCAGAGCTTTGAGAATTCTGGGGTCTTGGGATTCCCGTGGGTGTGGATTGCTTCCAGAAGGAGCACATTGTCTGGCCCCATTGTTCTCCCTAGGCAGTTGTTTTATTTTGAGCCCTCATTCCCAGTTCTGTGTCTTGGTCTCCTCGACCTCAAGGGGTCCCTTGACCACACCACCCATGTTCACACTCTTCTTCTACGACTGAACGCAGTGGCCGGCCTGCCCGAGTCTGCCAGCACAAGGTCTCCACAGTCCTCAGCCAGAGCAAAACCCTTAGATGGTCCACTGGCTCGCACCACTCCACCTGTCGCCTGGTGGGCACTCCCTGGCACCGTTTTCTCTCCAGGTCCAGTAACACCCAGGTGCGGGGGGCCCTGGAGTAAGGCTGCATCCCTGGCAGTTTCTGCTTCATCTTGGTGCCCCTTTTCTCCTCTGGCCCTAGGCAGGGCACAGTGCACCTTCCCCAACCCCACCCACCGCAAGAGGGAAAGCGGCCACTGGGGCCCTGTTCTGCAGGTCAGCCTCTCCGGACTTCACTCCTTGCTTTTTGGGTGGATGGGGAGAGGGAGTATCTTCAAGAGCCCAACCCCTTAGTGCCCAGAGATTCCACATTTGGGGTAGTGCCAGCCCTGCCAAGCAACAGGGTGCTGGTAGGCAGTCTGCTAACTGTTCATGACTCCCCCGATGTTCTGAGCCTCTCCCTGCTAGACCCAGCACACCTCTGAATGACAGGTCACCATGTGCTGCCCTGCATGGTTGGACTGTTTCTAATGTCGGCTAGGCATCCCGCCCCACGTCGCATCCTCTGTTCTATGCCAGTGGGTCACAATGGCCTATGCTTATTCACAGCAATAATATCTAGGGAGTGCCCAGGAAGCCCTTTTGTGCTCATCCCCTCTGCTCTGCATGGGTCCCCTGGGGAGGCTGCCACAGAACGGGTCCATTTCTGAGAACCTGCACAGAGAGAGCTCTGGGGCTGTGAGCATCATGGTCGGGGGGGGGGGCGGCAGTATACAGGGGGCCTGCACCTGCCCATTACCAGGGGCAGCCTGGTAATAGGCCCATGCCTCCAGGAGCTTTGGCTAAGATGGGGCCAGTGTTTGCAATTCTTAGGCCTCCCCAGACCTGCAGGAGCCTTTGAAGTGAGTGGGTCTGTCTCCCTAACTGGGTGGCTCTCGAGAAGGACACTGTCATGGCCGGGGTGTGTGCCCATCGCCTGCTCTGTGTCTCCATCGGTCTCTCTGTCTCTTCCTTTTCACATTTGTGCTTATAAAATATACTGGTGTTTGTGTTCCAGGACTGCCTCTGACTCATCCCTTCTGTGGTGGGGTCCTATTTCCCAGGGTTGTGGGGGGCCAGGACATTCACATCCTGAACCAAGAGGGCTGCTGCGTGAGGAGGGTTGGTAGTATGCTTGCCAGTCCTTTTCACTCCACTTTGATCCTCTCTGGTAACCTGACTCCACTCCGTGCCCCATAGCCCTCAGGAGGCATAATTTGGTCCCTGCTCATGAGACAGATGGGGAGTGCTGGGCAGTGTGCAGGTGGACTGCTCCTGCCCATAAGATGCACTCCTTTGAAGACAGATCTGGGGTATATTGAAGGGCATGAGGGGTCCTAGGGTCCTCTAAGGAGCGAAGAGGCCAGAACCTCTTTCTGTGACCTTCAGAATCAGGCCTTGAAAAAACAGGGGTACCTGGAAGCTTCCCTTTCCAGAGAAATGTGCTTAGGGACAGTAATCCCTCCTCAGCTTATGTTCCTCTACTCCATGTAGTTCACCTATACCTACCACCTTCACGCAGGGACCCAAGAACATGGGCCATCATCCATTGCTTTCCCAGGTGCCTTAACCAGGAGCTGAAGCAGAAGTGCAGCAACCAGGACCTGAAACAGCAATATGAGATGTTGGTATCATGGACAGCAGCCTAAGGCACTATACCGCAATGTCAGGCCCCAAAGTTTCTTTTCTGTTTTAATTTACCTCTTGAAATGCAGAGTGGCAGATGTGAGATAGAAGAGAGAGAGCTTTCAGCCATGTTGATTCACTGTCCCCAAATGGCTACGATGGCCAGGGCAGGATTAGGCTGAAGCCAGGAGCCAAGAGTTTCTGCTGGGTTTCCCACATGGGTGTAGGGACCTAAGCCTTTGAGTTGTCACCCACTACCTTCCCAGGAGCATTAGCAGAAAGCTAGATCTGAAGCGGAGTAGCTGGAACTTGAACTGGAGCTCCGAGATGGGATGCTAACATCAGTGGCAGCTTAACACTGCACCACAACACTAGTCCAGTAAAAACACATCTTTAACTTAGTCTCTCAGAGAAGGATTTTCTAGAAAGAAAACCAAATGCAATGAATTGTAGTCTGCTTTTTAGAACTTCAGAGGCTGGAGACAGGTCCGCAATGAGAAGTCTGAGGGGACACTGGACCCTCGACACGCTGTAGCACCTTGGCAGCCTTTGCCTGTACACCCCCTAGCCCACATTCTAAGAACACCACATGCACAAAATTGAGGGCTTGGGAGACAGCCAATGCCAAAGACCTTGGCTATGTCTTCTGAAATCTTCCCCACCGTTGCAAAAGCTGAAGGCTCAACCAACAGCAGGGAAGAAGTGGCCATGACCTTGTCTTATCATCCCAGAGTGTCCATTGCAGAGTTCCATGGTAAACCAGGGAATGGTAGAGTGCCCATGTGTGGAGACAGAGAAACAGGTGCAGGAAAAGGAAGTGACTGGCTTGTAGCCCTAAAGAGTAGAGGACCCGGGTGTTCCAATTTGCAACCACAGCTATGAATCCTTCCACCACTGGCACGGTGACCACTAACCCTGGGACCATGACCAGGTACTGGTGCTAGGTGCTCTCGTTTTCACTCATTCTAGACGAGCACTGCTGTGTTGTTTCACAGTAGGGAAGGAAATCTGTGAGCATCCAGTCTGCAATTCTGGATTCTGCACACTTTTCTGCAAATCCCTCTGGGTTCATTTTAAGCAGAAGACCTTGAGCAGGGAGGGTGCATAACCAGTCAGACACTCCCCTGTACTCTGAGGAAATTCTGGAAGCTTCTAGAGTACAGCTGTCACAAGTGCCGCCTGCAAAGGGGAGTTGACGTGTTTGGGAGTGGGAGGGTAGAGGCGAGAACAGGCCACCAGGAAGGAGGAACAGGATGGCATTGTAGCCACCAGTTAGGACAGTTGGCACAAGGCAATCTCTTTGTTGGTAGTATCCTCTGAAATGTTGGCCTCTGGTTCTCCCAACCTGTGATGCCCTCTGCTTGAGCCCATTTTCATGACTTGGGGTGAGGCCGGACTCCCCTGGTGGCAGCTGTTCTTGAGCCACCTGAAGCTAACCAGGTACATCTTTCTTCTAGAAAAACCTCCTGCCAGGGACTTTCTGGAAACTCCAACAGGGCTGAGAAATCAACTGTGTTTTTTTTTTTTTTTAAGATTTATTAGAAAGGCAGATATACAGAGAGGAGGAGAGACAGAGAGGAAGATCTTCCGTCTGATGATTCACTCCCCAAGTGAGCGCAACAGCCAATGCTATGCCGATCTGAAACCAGGATCCAGGAACTTCTTCGGGTCTCCCACACGGGTGCAGGGTCCCAAAGCTTTGGGTCATCCTCGACTGCTTTCCCAGGCCATAAGCAGGGAAATGGATGGGAAGTGGAGCTGCCGGGATTAGGACTGGCACCCATATGGGATCCCGGCGCATTCATGGCGAGGACTTTAGCTGCTAGGCCATGCCGCTGGGCCCGAGAAATCAACTGTTAAGTCCATCAGGTCCTTCTTGGACACCTGCCATGTCCAAGTCCAGTTACTGTTGACACTGATGGCTCATTAAGGAGAAAGGTCAGGTCCCATACTGAGTTATAAAGTCACAAGTCGGGCCCGGCGGCCTGGCCTAGCGGCTGAAGTCCTCTCCTTGAATGAGCTGGGATCCCATATGGACATATATATCTAATGTTGCAATAAAAATAAATAAATAAAGCTTTAAAAATAAAAGAAAGCCAGGATGATGTGCAGAAGAACAGGGAGCTGCTTTAGGTTGAGTGACCTCTAAGGTCTTGGAGAGGGGGGAGATTTTATTTGTTCACTTATATATCTTAGAGATGTATTTATTTGAAAGGCAGCATTATTGCCAGAGAGAAAGAGAGAGACGAGATTTTCCAACTGTTGGTTCACTCCCCAAATGGCCATAATGGCCAGGGCTGGGCCAGGCAGAAAGCAGGAGCATGGAACGCCATCCTCATCTGCCCCAGGTGCATCCTCATTTGTTTGGACCCAAACACTTTCCAAGTGCATGAGCAGGAAACCAGGTCAGAGGTGGAGCAACTGGGACTCGAAATGGCATTCACGTAGGCTGCTGGTATCAAGCAATTGCATCTCAGTGCTGGTCCCAGCAGATAAGATGCAGTCCAAAACCTGCATCTCTCCCAAGGGATGAGGTAGCCTGGGAAGGCTGTTGGCCAAGCCTACTCTCCCAGAGACTAGGCCAGGAATTGGGATCAGTATGCTTTCTCTCTCTCTCTCTCTCACACACACACACACACACACACATCCTCCATACATCTGACCTTCTTGAGCTGAGTCTGTTAACACCCTGTTGAAGCTCCTTAGAAATTCAGGCCTCTATCTAGCCCCAAGACTCTTGGAGCCTCAGGGATCTCAGCACAATTAGGATATCCCAGAGCAGGTGGCAGTGCAGAAAAGACAGGCACCTAATCAGGCATATGTCAGAGGGTCCAAACCAGGTCCTGGCTCCGTCATCTAGTATTTGTGTGACTTTTTAAAACACGTTTAAGGGCCCGGTGCCATGGCCTAGTGGCTAAAGTCCTCACTTTGAACGCGCCAGGATCCCATATGGGCATCGGTTCTAATCCCAGAGGCCCCACTTCCTATCTAGCTCCCTGCTTGTGGCCTGGGAAAGCAGTCGAGGATGACCCAAAGCCTTGGGACCCTGCACCCATGTGGGAGACCTGGAAGAGGTTCCTGGCTCCTGGCTTCGGATTGGCACCGCTCCAGCAATTGCAGTCACTTGGGGAATGAATCATCAGACATCTTCCTCTCTGTCTCTCCTCCTCTCTGTATATATGACTTTGCAAGAAAAATAAAGATTTTTTAAATGCATCTTATTTGTTAAAGAATTTTTTTTAAGATTATTTTTATTGGGAAGGCAGATTTACAGAGAGAAGGAGAGACAGGAATGTTCTCCATCCACTGGTTCACTCCCAAAGTAGCCACCATGGCAGAGCTGAGCTGACCCAAAGCTACGAACAGGAGCTTCTTCTGACCAAACCGACACAGGGTCCCAAGGCTTTGGACCATCCTCTGCTGCTTTCCCAAGCTCCAAGCAGGCAGCAGCCAGGACACAAACGGGTGCTCATATGGGATCCCGACGCATGCAAGGCAAGGATTTAGCCACTGAGGTATGGTGTCAGTCCCTTATGCGACTTCTCAGAAGACACTGAGCCCTTCTGAGACTTTGTTCGGTGGCTTTAGTCCAAGTTCAGCCGGCTTGGTTTCCTGGGCGTGTGTTGTGGCCTCTCCCAGGCTGAGTGTAGGAGTGCGCATGTCTGCTCTCAAGCAGGGCATCAGAGACCAGCTGGGCACAGTGAGCATCGTAGACTGGAATGCTAGACATCTGTGTTGGTAACAGACTGTGTGGGCCCTGCCTTGCGGTATTTTGTATTAGCTAACTCTGGTTCAATATCAGATTTATTGTTAGGTGAAAGTCATCCCTGTTTGCCTGGGGCTAAAGATTTTCTGACTTTTTCAGGGGACTTGTTCAGTTCCCAAGTTAGTGGAGGCTTGAAATGCCCTAACCGCATCTGAATTTAGCTCCTGTTTTGCTGAGTGATCCCTCTCCCCCTTGGATGTGACATCCTCAGGAGCTCTGTGGAGGCAGCCAGGCCCAGTCCTCCCTGGGCTTGCCGAGCAAAAGCCCCAGGGCTGGCCGACATGCCCACCTGAAGCCGGAGGCCTCTTCTGCACCAAGGGCACGCCTCTCCCTTGGATGCTTTTCATTAGGAACACTGGGTGACATCAGGTGTTCTTCTGCTGACGTCCACGCAATCTGTTCCCCCAGGGCCACTGGCCTGCTGACCAGCACGACCAGATGGCACCTTCTGTAGAACTATCTCATGGTCTCTGCATTTGCACAAGCCCCTAGCCTCCCAGGAAAGAGCTCTGGCACCTGCTGATGGCCACGTCTTTGCGCCTGATAGCGTCGTGTGTGTTTTTCCTTCCTGTGTGTGTGCTAAAGGCGCCAGCCATCCATTCCTGGCTGACACTCATCACCTTGA